GACAGTTGGTTTGGGAGAGACAAGTTTGGTTTGTGGAGAGAGACAGTTGGTTTGTGGGCAAGAGACAGTTGTGTTGGGGAGAGACAGTTGGTTTGGGGAAGACAGTGTTTGGTATGAGAGTTGGTTGGGTGGAGGAACAGTTGGTTGGTGGAGAAGACAGTTGGTTTAGTGGGAGAGAGTTGGTTTGGGGAAGAGAAGTTGTTGGCTGGGGGAAAAGAAGCAGTTGGTTTGGGGGAGACATTGGTTTGTGGAAGAGACAGTTGGTTGGGGAGAGAGCAGTTGGTTTTCGGGGTTGAAGCAGTTGGTTTGGGGGGGAGAGACAAGTTGGTTTGGGGGAGAAGACAGTTGGTTTGCGGAGAGAGACAAGTTCGGTTTGGGGGAGAAGGTTGGTTGGTGTAAAGAGACAGTTGGTTTTGGGGGGGAGACCAGTCTGGTTTTCGGGGGAGACATTTGGTTTGGGGAGTAGACAGTTGGTTTGGGGGACAGACATTTGTTTGGGGGAAAGACATTTGTTTGGGGGGAGAGACAGTTGTTTGGGGAGACAGTTGGTTGGGGGGGAGACCATTTGGTCTTGGGGGAGAGACCATTTGGTTTGAAAGAGAGACAGCTTGGTTTGGGGGAAGAGATAGTTGGTTGGGGGGAGACGGTTTGGGGAGACCATTTGTTTGTGGGGAGAGACAGTTGTTTTTGGGAGAGACAGTTGGTTTGGGGGAGAGACAGTTGGTTTGGGGGAGAGAGTTGGTTTTGGGGGGAGAGAGTTGGTTTGGGGAGAGACAGTTGGTTTGGTGGGAGACAGTTGGTTTGGTGGGAGAGACAGTTGGTTTGGGGAGAGACAGTTGGTTTGGGGAGAGACAGTTGGTTTGAGGGGGAGAGAGTTGGTTTGGGGAGAGATGGTTTGGTGGGAGAGACAGTTGGTTTGGTGGGAGAGACAGTTGGTTTGGTGGGAGAGACAGTTGGTTTGGGGGAGAGACAGTTGGTTTGGTGGGAGAGACAGTTGGTTTGGTGAGAGACAGTTGGTTTGGGGGAGAGACAGTTGGTTTGGTGAGAGACAGTTGGTTTGGGGGAGAGACAGTTGGTTTGGTGGGAGACATCTGGTTTGGGGGAGAGACCTCTGAGGCTCAAGCCCCAAGAACACTGTGTCCCCTCCGGCATTGCTGGGCGCTCTGGAGTGCTAGTGGATGCTTCCCCACGTGGCCTGGTGTCCACTGGGGCCTCAAAGGCTGTGCCCTGAGTAACTCGTTCTTCAGGATAATGATTCTCACAGGTGGCAGTGAGTGCCCAGCAGAAGGGCTTGGGTGTCACTGCCTATGAGGGGCAGGGTAGGCCTAGGGTGGGATGTGGGATGACACATGGCCCCTCGAAGGTGACTGCTGTCCAGAGGGACCTGCTCTCTCCTGGCAAGTGCAGAGCATCTGTGGGCTCTTCCTCAGGCCAGGACCAGCACATGCCAAGCAGAGGGGCATCCTAATGCCAGCCTCCTGTGTTCTCCGGAAGGACGAGGCTGAAGGTGGGGCCACTGGCCACTTCATTCAGCCCCCAGTGGGAGTCGGTCACTTCAGGGAGCTCCACCCCACAGACTTAGCACAAAGTCTCACTCTGGGCTGGGGGTGGGGAGCCAGGCCCCCAGGACCAATCACAACGGAGTGAACATTCACCCCCAGACATCACTGAACCAGCCCCACATGGGAGAACAAGCCCTGCCCTGAACACCTGCAGGCATCCCCGGGAGGGCCGGGACTCTGCTGTGCTCCCCTCACCCTGACTTGGGGAGCACCAAGCCTGTTATGTGCATGGACAGAGCACCCCTGACCCCACACGTCATGGAGCCAGACCCTGAGAAAGAGCCAGACAGCCCTCCCCAGCCCTGGCGTGTGGCCTCAACCTAACTGCACTTCAATGGGTGCTTCTGATCTGGGAACTTGATTCTTAGACCAGCGCAAGGTGAACCTGCAGGGATCAAAGGCTTCCACACAGTCTAGGCTTCCGTGATGAGAGGAACCCGAGGCCGTTGGCTCCAGATGGGGAAACTGAGGCCACAAGAGGAGTGGCTCCTCTGAGGTCGCATGGCTGGGTGCTGGCAGGGGCATTCCTAGACCGCAGGGCTCCTGTCTCCTGGTCCAGAGCCCTTGCAGCAGCCACCACCCTGAAGCCTTTTTCTGCTCAGCTCCACCCAGTCTTCAGGTGGCCGCCTCCTGCCGCTGCTGGGAGCTAAGTCTGCTGCCCCAGCGGCCTGAGCTGAGTGACTCAGTGGGAGTGGCCCTCTCCCTTGATCTTAACAAGCAAAAACCCAAAAACTGCATTTGTTTTACCTTTTCCTCCAGTTCTTTTATTTGTCTCTTCTGAGCTTCTATTCTTTCTTCTAACTCTTTAATTCTCTGTAAGGTTAAAAGGAAAAAAATCTTCAACAGTCACAGTATTTGGGAAACCCAAATCTTTCAAGATTTTCATGCATTTCCTTGGTAACAAATGGTGGCAGAGCAACTGGCATGGCCATGGGCTGTGGCTCCTGACGAGGACACCAGCCTTTGCTGCGTTGTTCCAGCAGGAGAGCAGAGGGCCTTCCCCATGTCATGCTCCCTGTGGTGGGAACAGTATGCGTCCGATTCCTGCAACTTCAACTCAGAAAGCACGACGCCAGACATCCAGGGAAATGGTAGGAATGCATTCCCGGTCCCCCCAGATGCCACTGCAGCAGAGTAAGGGGCCGCCAGAGGGTCACAGGAGAGCTGGGCACAGAATCTCCTGGTGAGGGGGATGCCAGTGCCTGGGGTCCCCCAAGCATCTGAGCTCCAACCACAGCCCCTCTGAGGCAACAAAGGGGCTGCAGGTGACTGTCCTCACCCTGAGCCCCCAGAGGCCAAAGGGGCCCAGGAGGCTAACGAGGAGCCAGCAGAGCACGTCCAACATTAGCCCACCGATGCCCACGGCCAGCTGGCACACAGGGCACTTGTTTATGTGAATTTCAATTAAGCCTTCGCTAGGGGTGTTCTTCACAAGGAATACATCCATAAATCCGCCTCCCAGCCAACCTGGATCATGGAGGAGCTGGGCTGTGTCCTACTCATCTGGGTCGTCCAGTCTGCGAGGCTCCTCACCTCCCATTAGAGCAGAACTGACCCAACAGGCCTGAGGTCCCACAGTGCCCTGAGGCCAAGGCACGCCAGGGCTGCTGTCCCCAGAGAGCACCCTTGCCATCAGGAAACGGTGTCATGGAAAAGACACGGTAGCCGGGGTCCAAAAGAGGAGAACTACCACCCAGAGGCCTCTGCAACATGCCCAGGACACGAGGCTGGTGAGGGAGGCAGTCTGGCCCGAGTGCCTGCCATTGACAGGCATGGCCATCAGGGGCATGGCCATCAGGGGTGTGACCACAAGAGGGCGCGGCCAACAGGGGGCGTGGCCATTCTAGGGCATGATCATCAGAAGGTGTGGCCATCCAAGGCTCTGTGTGTGGAAGGCATGACAATTGGGGGGCATGGCCATCAGGGGGCATGGCCATTGGGGGCACGGCTACCAGGGTGTAGCCATCAGAATATGTGTTATGAGGGGTGTGGCCACTGGAGGGTGGGGCCACAGAGGTGTAGTCGTTGGAGATGTGGCCACAGGATGCCCCCCGCCTGGCTCTGTGCAGGCCCAGGGCCAGGTCTTTACCCCAGTCCCACTCCCGCCTGCCATGCACCTGCTGAGCCAGCTGCAGCAGCTCCATGCGCTCCCGCAGGATCTGGGCATCCCGCTCGCGCAGCTCACTCATAACCTGGCGTTTCCACTGCTCCACGGCCACCCTGAGCTTCTCGCGCTCCTCCTCCGACAGCAGTTCAGCCACCTTGGCCCCGGCCTCCTGCTGCAGGGCGTCATACAGCATGGCTTCCAGCTCCAGGATGTGCTGGGGCGGAAGGGGAGATGCCTTAGTCCTTGCCTTCTCCCCAGAACAAACCCTTCAGGAAGGGCAACGGAGGCCGGGCCACCCTCCGCCTGGGAGCGGGGCCAGGAGGATGTGCAACAGACAGGAACCCAGTGCTGTGGCCTCTGCAGAAGGACTGGGGCCCCACGGACCTCCCCAGTCTGTGAGAAGACCCTAGAAGCAGAGACGCTGACCAGGCCAGCAGAAGCCAGGACGCTGAGCCCCAGGGTGGGGGAGGACTGAGCTATGAAGTGGGGAAGCTGAGTGGGAGGTGGAGGGGCTGCAGGTGGCCTGTGGGGACACAGCAAGGTGGGAGGGAGCTGAGCATGGGGTCACCCGCTGCCTCCCCAAATCCAATTCATAGACCCATGTAACCCGATCCCGGTGCTATAACCAGCAGCCAAAATACATAATAACCCAGCAGCCAAAGTACATAATAACCCAGCAGCCAAAGTACACACCTTTTCATAAATTCCTGGGGTTTGGCAGTTTGCTCTGCATATTCCAAAGCTTTTCTTAGGCAAATTTTATTGACAGGATCTTTGTAAAAAACAAATTCTCACACTACAGAGGCTCTTTCTTCCCAACCAAATGTAACATCTTCAGAGACAGCAGAAATATTAGGAAATGGAAAAAAAATATTTTTGGGCCTCAGTTACACTTTATTGTTCTTGACGGCCACAAAATAAACTGTCCCCAGCTGTCACAACCAGCTCGCACATCAACTTCCACTTCTTAGAGGAAAAGAGCTCAGTGCCTTTAAGATGAGCTCCAGCTTCTAAAAATAAACCTGGTCGACTGCTGACTTGGAACTAACCTCACAGTGGCTTCACGTGCACCTGGTGGTGGGAGGTGCTCACCAGGACCTCCGTGGTGACATGAACTGTGGGCTGCCTGGATGAGCCTCCCTGCCTTCGGCAGCCACACAGACCACGGTCTACCACACCCACGTCCAGAGAGGCAAAGTCGGCACCAGCCCCTGCCGTAAAGAGCCGTCATTGCCCCAGGAGGAACCAGCTCTTCCCCTCCTTGCCCCAGTGTCTCCCAGAAGAAGAGCAGGAAGTGCAGAAAAAAACCTCAGTGCTCACAGGCCTGTGGGTCACCTGAGGGCACCTGAGTGACCGAGAGCCACACCGTGAACGACACAGGAGAGAACCAGGCAAGCGTGCAGGGAAAGGGAAGGAAATCAACAGGAACTCAGGAAACTCGGAGCATCCCAAATGTGGGGGCCTTCCTGTTGGAAGTGGAGAAAGAGGCCCCCCAAATATCACACAGGAAGAGACCCCCCAGCATCACACAGGAAGAGACCCCCCACCAGCATCACACAGGGAGAGGCCCCCCACCAGCATCACACAGGGAGAGGCCCCCCAGCACCACACAGGGAGAGGCCCCCCCGAACATCACACAGGGAGAGGCCCCCCCACCCTGAGCATCACACAGGGAGAGGCCCCCCCCAAGTATCACACAGGGAGAGACCCCCCCAGCATCACACAGGAAGAGGCCCCCCTCCACAGCATCTCACAGGAAGATGCCCCTCCCACAGCATCTCACAGGAAGATGCCCCTCCCACAGCATCTCACAGGAAGATGCCCCTCCCACAGCATCTCACAGGAAGATGCCCCCAGTCCCCTCCAGAGTAGGGGGCATTAATCCTGGTCCAACCAACAACCATGTGCCCCCCCTGACTGGACTTTGGGGCTGAATGATCCGCTGAGCAGTTGGCCCCATCTGAGGCCTGAGAACACAGCTACTGTGGAGGTGCAGAGAGAGGTGGCCTCGCAGAAAGCTGAAGCAGTGCTGATTTGATCTTCTGGAAATGTGTGCAGAGACCCACATCTCTAATCCCATGGGGTGTCCACAGGATGTTTGATCACAGGGACCATGGTGGCAGTTGCTCTAGGCCAGGGCCCCCACTCCTGGAGCTTTCTGTGCTCAGATTCTGCATTCTGGTCAGGTCAAGGGGGCCCACAGGCTACTTCTCCCAGTGGAGGGATTCTGGGCCTGAGGCATCACTCCAGACACGATCTTACAAAGGGGAATTATCTGTGACATTAGGGTGGAAAAGGTGGATGGCTGAATAGACAAATGCTGCCTGGGGGGCGGGGTGGGGGGCTGCCATCCTGGAGGTGCACAAATTTCCTTTTCCTCTTTACACGTGCCTCACACACACCTCAAAGTAATGCTGAAAGAAAACATTGGAATATTTTTGTACAATCTTTTTTTTTGTATGAAGGACAAATATGAAATTATGCCATAAAACCTGGAGGCCATCAACCTCATAAAAATTACCCAAATTCTTCCAGGCCCTCAAAACAGTGTTTGACATCAAAGAGCAACTGACAAGCTGGGTGAAATATTTGCAATGTACCATTCTTCTGAGTGAGGAAATAAAGGAAATATTTGCAATGGATGGCAAAGGGCTGGTTGCCTTCTTTTATCAAGAACTCTGACCAAAAGGTAGAAAGCATGAGAGAGAGGTGGGAAAGGTCACAAACAGACATGGCGTGGAGTTGCATAGAAATGTGTTAAACTTTGAGCTCATCAGGAGACACGCCTGCTAGGACTGCACCAGGCAGCTGCACACCATGCGGTGGAAGTTTGGGGTGCAAGTTGTACCTACTATGGGGAGAAATATTCGACAGTTCCTAACAATGCTTTAAGTGTGCATAACCCTTTGGTCGATCCAAAGAATATTTCCTGCAGATAATTTCTATTTGTGTGTTGGGATGTCAGAAATGGATAGGAATTGCTATTTTGCTGGTGATAGCTAATGCATGGACACTACCTAAGTCCACTACTGGGGACAAACAGTCCATGATACGCTCACACCAAGTCGCCCCTTGGGCTGGTGGGAAGCGCCCTGGCTGTGCACGGTCAGGTGAAAGGGAAGCGTGCTGCAGCTCGTAGGGGTTCTCAGGCTATCCATGAAAATGCACATGCACACACATGTGGGGTGTAATCCAGGAAGGAAAAGAGAACCAGCAAGTGGGTCCCCTTTGTTGGTGGCATCTGGAGTCCAGAGAACAGGAACGGGAAGAAAATGTCCTTTCCTACTGTGAACATTTCCTACCATTGGCGTGATGACCATCTCTCAGAAGATTTCAGACAGCAAGCCTCAGATAAGCATGGGGACCCCACTTTTGCAAAAATACTATGCGTATCCCCATCCTGCCAAGAGACCACCAGGAGAGAAACCAGAATGCCCACAGTCTTTCTCTGTGTGCTGGGCACATGGTGAATTTTTTATTGGATTTTTCTGTGTTGTAAATTAGAACTGTATATTGATTCTTTTTTCATTCAGGAAAAAAATGCAACACTAAAAAAAGAAATGCATGCCCTTCTCTTCCCTTTCCTGTCTCAAGGTGGGCTGGATTTAAAAACCTTTGCACAATCCTTAGCTCTTTTCCTCTTCACCTATGCGTCACCCACAAAGCACCTGCTGCCTGCCAGGCCTCGTGCTGGTCTAGGAGACCAGATGGTAGCAGATGCACACGATCCCTGCTTGCCCCATAGAAAGGCAGACCCATTTCCACGAGTGGGACGTGTCAGGGCCACCTCACTGGGAGTCAGGGAAGGTTTCCTAGAGGAGATGAGGTACTAAACTGAGGCTTGCAGTGTCAGTCAGGGATGGGCAGGAGAAGGAAAGGGAGGGAGCCCCAGAAGGACGGAACAGCATCAGCGAAGGCTGGGTGGGGTCCTCCGTCTCCTGGCCTGCGGTGGTGGTGGCTGCATAGCAGTGGAGATGCCTACCAAGTAGGTTGATCCCTAGCTGGATCCCAGCTGCCTCTCCACCCAGGAAGCGACGTGGGCCTTGGTGCTCATGGGAGATCACTGTTCTAGAGGGTTCTTCCTCATCCACCAGAGAGGAACCTGTCTATGCCAGCAATCAGCATGAACAGGACGAGGAAAATGAGGGGGTATGAGGAGGCTGGAGAGCCAAGGGGCTTCAGGGGACAGAGACTGAGCTGAGGGGGGGAGGCGGGAGCCTAGAGCCTGCAGGACCTGTCGCCTCGCCAAGAAAGTCTCTCCAGTAAGGGCAGCCAGGCATCCCAGAAGGCGTGGGCAGAGGAGTATCAGCTGGCTGCAGCATGGATGGCCTGGGGCACTGAGGGGCCTCTGCTTTTTACATCAAGCAACCACCCACTTCCAGCCTCTTTCCTTCTGACCAAAGCAGGCAAGACCCAGAGGACTGCCCGGGAAGCTAAGCCTGCAGCAGCCTGGGCCTGGGGGCCGCCCCATGAGCAGGGTGGACAGACATGCTGTGTGCTGCGCAGGTCTCCGGCCACCTGGAGGAATGCAGGTCTCACCACCGCTGGGGCCAGCTCACCCAGGACTGGCTCTCAGTACCCAGAGGCCATGAGGACAGTGGCCCGGGAAGGATAGCCAGCAACCTGTGAGCTGCTCCCACGCAGGCATGTGCACACGTGCTGGTCAGCAATAGTGAAACTAACCATAGCAACAGGAGGGCCATTACCAGTTTAGCCAGGACTAGCCTCCATGCCCAGCATCTTACAGGAAGTCCCAATCCCTAGTGGTTACTGGCTGAGTTGGGCCTCAAACCCAGGTCATCTGCTTCCAAAGCCTCCCATGGCTCCCACACTGGCTTCCACAGCAGCTGACATGGGCCTTGCACCCCTGCCCAGGATGCCAGGTGCCTGGTGTGACTGTTCTTTGCTCTGTAGGGTTCTGCTTTTGAGCCCTGGCCCCTCTATGTGAGGAACTCGAATCCACAAGTGCAGGAAGGAGAGATGCCTAGTGCAGCAGTCATGGCTGTGGGTGCAGGGGAAGAATGCTGAGATTCGACTCCTGCCTTCATTCTGACTGTGTGTCCTTGGGCAGGTCACCAGCTTCTGTGCCTGGCTGGCCAGATCAGTGCCTGCCACATGGGAAAGCCTCTCGAGTAGGCTCTCATTATAATACTATCATTATCATCCTCATCATCACCACCACCATCATCACCATCACCATCATCATCAATCACCATTGTCACCGTGATCACCATCATCAATCACCATCATCACCATCATGATCGCCATCATCACCACCACTACCACCACTGTCATGATCATCACCATATCACCACCATCACTAACACCACCATCATCATGATCATCATCATCACCACCAGCATCATCACCTATCATCACCATTACCACTACTACCACCACCGTCATCATGATCATTGCCATCATCATCACAACTATTATCACCATCATGATCACCACCATCACTACCAGCATCATCATCACTATTATCACCATCATCACTACTACCACCATCATCATGATCATCGCCATGATCATCACCATCATCATGACCACTACCACCATCATCATGATCATCATCACCACCATCATCATGATCATCATCGCCACCACATCACCACCATCATCACCATCTCCACCACCGTCATCACCATAACCACGATGACCATCATAATCACCATCATCACTACCACCAGCATCATGATAACCATTATCACCATCATAATCACCATCATCACCATCACCACTACCACTACCATCATCATGATCATCACCACCATCATCACCATCACCACTACCATCACCATCATCACCATAACCATTATTACCATCACCACTACCAACATCATGATCATCGCCATGATCACCATCATCATCACCATCACCACTACCACCATCATGATCATCGCCACTATCATCACCATTATCACCATCACTACCACCACCATCACCATAACCATTATCACCATCATGATCACCATCATCACCATCAAGATCACCATCATCACTACCACCAGCATCATGATAACCATTATTACTATCATAATCACCATCATCACCATCACCACTACCACCACCACCATCATCATCATCACCACCACTATCACCACCACCACCACCACCACTACCACCATCACCATTATCACTGCCAGCAGAATCATCACCACCACCATTGTCATCATCACCATCACTCTGAGAGTTCCCAGGCTGACTTGGCCCCAGGAATGAGCATTTTCATCCCAGCCCACCTTCCCTTGCTTTGAGTAGCCAAGCAGGTCTCCTCACAGGCATGACAGTCAAGATCCTGCCTGCTGGGCAGGGTCCCAAGGTGAACCTCTCGGTGGTGACACTTGTCTTTCCACAACACGACCTGAATATCCTCCCGGTCGTACCTTCCATCACGTGATAGGAGTCCAACAGGGACAGATGATTGCTTGTGCAGTCACGGGGGAAGTAGCTCCCAGCAGGAGAACCCAGTTCTGAAGCCTAGTTTTCAACCTAGAAATGTCCTATGCTCCTCCCAGCCACAGCAGATGAAATAAAACAAGACCACACCTTCCACTAGTGAGCAGCCACCGGTTTCTCAGGGGAGGGGTGGGAGGTAGACACCAGCCCGCACCAATGCCTGGACAGCCCTTTAGGAATCAGGGTGTGTTTGTGAGCCCGAGTGACCTGCACAAAGACTGTAGAACGTTCTCATGGCACAGTGTGGGTTTAGGCCCCCTCAACTAATCCTGCCCTGTTTATGAAGCTCCAAGTGAAGACCCCATCAGGCAGCTCTGGAGAGCCAGGGCCTGCTGTGCAGGTGTCATTAGGGGCTGTTAGGGGCCCTGTAACCTGATTCGCATAGGCATCTGAGGCACCGCTGGGCACCTGAGCCACGTGGCTGTTTTTACCCCAATGCCCCTCCCCAGGGTTCTAGCAGCCTTGTGCTTCTCACCTTGTGGGCCTGGTCCAAGGCCTGTTTCCGGTAGTCCAGCTCCTCGTCCAGGTAGCCCTTCTGCTTACTGAACAGCTCCTGAAACACAGGAGGACCGTGCCTCTATCTCGGATGTCCCACCTGCAGCGCCGAGCCGCAGAACCTCAGGGAAGGTGCCACCAACCTTCTCACTCTCCAGATCCACCATCTTCCGCTGCAGTGCCGCCTCTGTCTCCTCAATCTGCTGGAGCCACTGGGCACAAACAGAACAAGCAAGACAATGACCCCTAGGGTCCCCCACCCCGGCTTGCGGAGATAGCTGAGAGAGAAGCCAGGGCAGCCTGGGTCTTCCTTCCTCTTCTCCTTAGGGAGGGGAGAGCCCAGCCCTCTTCAGGGAGTTGGGGCTGCGCTGGAATCATGGCCCTGCCCCTCCCACCCTTCAGGTGTCCAGGAAGTCTGCCCCTGATACCACCTCCAGGAGAGAAGAGACGCTGGCTTGGGGCACTGTGGGAGAGACACATCTGCAGAGCTCTGCCACCAAGGGCGGGGAGGGGTGGCCTGTTTCTCCAAACCCCTATGTGCCAGGAGCACCCCTTCTCCTTGCTGTGGGAGGCCCAGCCCACCAGGCAGGTCAGGGCCAGGGTTGGGACTAGGAGCAGGTGGTGGGCTGGGTGGCCCCAGAAGGGGGTCAGGATAAGTTGAACAGAGAATGCTGCCTGCAGACTCACCATACCTTCCCGCCTTTAGGAAGAAACCCAGACAGGGTTGCTGTCAAAGCAAAGTGGAGCTGAATCTGTCCTTTGCAAACATGCACAGTGGGTGCTGTCTGACCTGAGTATGCCAGATCTCCCAGGGCAGACAGGGTTTAGTGGACCCCCAAACCCGGTCCTGCAGGCCACCAAGGTCGTCCCAAGAAGATCACCTTCTCTGAGCTGAGCAGGGCAGGGGACCCCAGGAGCCCGGCCCTCTCCCGAGTGTCCACACAGCTGCTCTTACCTTTTCGGCCAAGGTCAGGACTGTCCTGGCTTGTATGACAACCACCTGCTCCTCATTGGTCAGGTTCTGCACCAAAAGCAGAACACAGGTGTGGTCAGAAGCAGTGCCTTTGGGGGTGAGGGTGAGTGACGGATGCATGGGGAGGCTGACTGGGGACGCCTGGGTGCTGGGTCACAGCTAAAAAGCGCTTTGACTGACATCTCCCTCCCAGCATCTCTGACACCCTCGACTCTCAAGCTTGTTTCCTCCAGGTGCTGTCGATTTTGTTTTCTCTCGTCCTCCCTCTGCTGGTAACCACCAGGTCTAGGTAACCAGCTGAGGCAGATGCAGATGCACTGCTCAGTGCAGGCAGAGGCTGCCACGACATCCCCAGCAGCAGCTGCTGCTCTGCCCAGCTTCTGTCCCCTTCTGTATCTAAAGCCAGCCTCTGCATATGCACCTGTAGTTACGAAAACACCACTTGGAACAGTGGAGGAGAGACCACACGTTCATGGCTGTGAAATGGCTGAATCCCTGGAAGGTTTTGTCTTTTTACGCATGTTTTATTCATGCTTCCTCCCCACCTGAGGGGACCCTGGGTGGCCCTTCTGGGTAAAGTGATTACGGCTTTGGATGTGGGCACCTCACACTCTCAGACCCCGCTGCAGCCTGCATCCAGACCAGGCCTTCCCCGCTCTAGCTCATGGGTCAGCTGGGGCTGGGTGCCCGGTCCCTGCGGGGAAGGGAGGCCCTTGCTCCTTTCCCCAGAGCCTCTCTGATTCATGCCAGCTCACTCCAAAAGCCCTGCCCATGCCATTCTCTCCCTAGAGTGCAAGCTCCTTAATGGCAGGCAACTCTTGCTGTACGCCCCCCTCAATGTCCTCACGGGTCTCCCCCCGCCAAAGTCCTCACGGGTCTCCCACAGAGGGGAGTCAGGCTCAGTCTGTAGTCCATGGTGGGGGCCAGCTGCACTCCTGACTCAGGCAAGAACCTCACCCTGCACGGCTGGGGCTGGGTGCCCTCATCTCTCCTGCCCTGCTCCCTTCTCCCATGGCAGGGCTGGGCAGGGCTAGGCAGGCCACAGACTTCTCCCAACACTTTAAGTTGGGGAGGCTGAGCAGTTGGCTTCAGGGTGATGGAGGGAATCTACCCGATGTGGTTAAACCACAAGGTGCATGTGAAGCTTGCTCAACACTGACTGCACAGACAGGCTTGAAGGGATGCAGTCAGCCTGTTGTCAGGAGCTCCCCAGCATCTCCACAGGTCCCCTGAGCTTAAGCCTGGCCATGAGCCCTCCAGTCCCCAACTTCCTCCATCCCTGGGCTCTGTGATGATGGCCTCAGAGGCTGCATGATGACTGCAGGGCCACCACACTCAGTGGCACTCTTGGTGGACAGCTATGGGGCTGGGCAGGAACCCTGAAATAGGCCTGGGCGGGGCTGGATGTCCCCAACTCTGCCACTACATCAGCTCTGTGACCCTGGGCAGTACCACTGGGGACTCAGCCTCTCCAACTGTGAATCAGAGAGTTGCCCAATACAGTTCCCAAGACCTCATGAGGGGGCTGATACCCAGGACTGGACCCCAGAGCATGTCAGGTCCATGGCCACCCTGCTGTGACTCTTCGGCCACCTGTGACCACAATGGAGCCCCAGGTCTGAAAGAAGCAGACCCATACCCAGAGCCTCCCTGCTGAAAGCACCCCTGCCTTGTGCTTCACTGCTCCCCAGGGGCTGGGCAGGCAAGGGGAGAAGGGAGTCCTCTGATGCAGGACCCTGGATGGAGTAGATCAATGAAGGTAGGATGATGGATGGATGGATGGAGGGAGGGAGGGGCTGTGGATGGACCGAAGGATAAAGGATGAAGGATGGAAAGATGGATAAATAGCTTATGGAGGATGGATGGATGAATGGTGGATGGAGGATGCATGGATAAATTATGGAGGGTGGATGGATTGATAGATGGATTCTGGAGAATGGATGAATGAATGGAGGATAAAGGATGAAGGATGGATGGAGAATGAATAGATGGATTATGAAGGATGGATTATGGAGGATGAATGGGAGATGGATGGATGGGTGAAAGATTAATGGGTAGAATATGGTAGATGGAGAAGGAATGGATGGAGGATTGTGGATAGAGGACAGATGGAGGATGGAGAATGGATGGATTAGTGATGATGGATGATGGATGGATGGAGGATGGATGGACATATTGTGGATGATAGATAAATTCATGGATTAAGGATGATGGATGAAGGATAGATGAAGGATAGAGGACGGAGAGATGGATTATGGGGGATGGATAGATGGATTACACAGGATAGATGGATGGATAGATATAAGACAGAGCATGAATGAAGGGCTAGGTAGATGATGCATTGATGGGGAATAAATGGATGGAGAGCGCAGGATTAGTGATGGACGAATGAAAAGTGGGATGAAAGGGTGCGTTTACTTTGCCCACTCAGTAATTAACATCCTTTCAAGGAGTTTGCTACAGAAATTGGAACTCTGCCCCAGTGAAATTTAGGGGTTATCTATAGAGTCTGCTCCTTCCCCCAAGCCAAGAAAGTGGAATTCCTAAGGGTCTTGGCTTGTCTAAGAGCAACATCCTCACGGCAAGTCTGGAAGGGCTGAGAGAGAGACCCCAGAAGCTGGGCAGTGTGACGGGAAGTGCCGTCAGCTGGAAGAACCAGGTGTGCACAGCAGAGGTCCCACTGGGCCCTGGAGCAGTGTGAGGAAGCTTCCGATTCTGAGCAGGCTCTGGGCCGCGGGAAGGGTCTCAGGCAGTGTGGCCCATGACAGGGCTGTGGGAGGCTGGTAGGACTCCTGGACCCCAGAGGGGCAGGGCAGGGCAGGGCTGGGCTGGGGGTTGTGGGTGTGAGGGGCATGCACAAGCCAGGAGAGCGACATACACTTACGGCGTTATCGCCCAGGATGTCCAGCTTCTTCATCAGCTCCGCGACCACAATGTCCTAAGGCACAGAGGACAGGCAGGGGTGAGTGGCCTCGAGTGGGCAGAGAGGGCGAGGCAGGGCGGGACAGGGCATGGGGCGGGGCGGAAGGGGCGGGGCGGGGCTCACAGTCACGCCTTCGGCCTCGCAGTACACCTGGAGGGGGCTCTTCCCATCCACGAAGGGCGTGTGGTGGAAGTTGATGGCGGGTGACTTCCTCTCCCTCTCCTAGGACAGAGGAGCAGAAGGGTGAGCCGCTTCCTTCCCATCCCTTCCCTCCAAGAGGGCTGTGCTGGGGCCTGAGGAACATGGGCCAAGACCATGGAACCAAGGATCAACACAGCATTTATGAAAACCAAACCGCAGCAGCAGCCGTGGTGGCAGAACTTGCCCTGGACCTGGACCGGCCCACGAGGACCGCGCCCCTGTGTATTCGCCGACCCCAGATGGGCCGGGCAGAGTTCATCACACTCCAGTCACATGGCCTGGGCAGTCACCACCCTGAACCCACGGCACATCCCTCGGTGAATCCCAGGGGCTATGGGGAGGACCAGGGGAGGGGCTGTACGTCGCATCCCCTGCAGGCCTAACCAGAAGAGTCTCTGGAGGACACAGGCCAGCGCTGCTGCCACTGTCCCCACAGGCAAGCCCACGTGGCCGAGGTCATCCACACATGGCGTGACCACACAGCTGCCCTGTCCTCCGGCGGTGGGCGGGAGGGCTCTAAGAGGGGCTCCAGCTGGACTCCGAGGCCTCAGGTGCTGGCCCGAGACGGAGGCCTCGCGGTGTGTGTGGTGCTCGGCAGGGGCGGCCCCTGTGTGGGCCACTTCCTCCCAGCCCCACAGGTGGACTGCCCTTTCACACCCGGCCTGAGCTGCCTGGTGGGATCCCCCTCCTCCCTCCTCCTGTGCAGGTCATGGCAGAGGACACAGGGCCAGGGACAGCAGGGCACAGGCAAAGGGCTCCCAGTCGCCGCGTGGCCCCCACTGCCCTCACTCAGGGGCAAGAAACAAATGTCTGCCGACCACCGAGGCCTGGGCACGGCCGCACACCAGCTGCAGCAGGGCCACGGGGGTGAATGGAGGACGGACGTGCCGGCTCTTCAGCCCACAGATCTGGAGGAGATGCTGCACTGTCACCCGTCGTGCTTTTGTTTTGTTTCCCTGCATGACACTGAGCTCCACGGCCCATGTTCCCCATTGACACATGCTTTGGGTGGCCGGTATGAAGAGGTGGCGATTTACAGCCATTTGCCTCTTTCCTCCCTGAGCCAGCCTTTTGGGTTCATGTTCAGGGGTTTATGTGGGTTAGGAAGGCTGAGGACTGGATCCCTGACACAGCCACAGGCCATGGCCACAGGCCACAGTGCCGGCCATTGGCCCAGCTACCTCAAGCTCCAGGATCCTGAACTCCAGCAGCTCGTTTTGGTCTCTGGCATCCTGCACCTCGTGTCTAAGCCGAGCCTCTTCCGTCTCCATTTGTTTGATCTATAACATAAAAGATGCATGAGGTGAGGGGTCTGGTTCTCTCCCACCAGAGGTCTTGGAAGACAACTCCAGGCTGACTGGACAGCGGCTGACTGGACAGCTGCTGGCTGTCGGGGAGGCCAGTTGGCTGGCCAGGTGCCCAGCCCTGGAAGCTCCTCACAGCCCTGGGTATGTTTGGGTCTGTCCTAGTGAGACGGCCCAGCCATCCGTTGGTGGGTGGGGCTGGGCAGGCAGCACCGCATACCACAAGCCAGGAGCCTGGAGGTCGTAGTGGGGCCCTGAGCCTGGGTGGCCCCTGGGCAGGGAGGGGGAAGGGAGGCGTCAAGGATAAACGTCTCCAACAGGGGCTGTGCACCGCAAGCCAGGAGCCTGGGGGCCTTAGTGGGGCTCTGAGCCAGGATGAGGAAGGGAGGTCATGGAGGATAAATGTCCCAAGTGACTCCCCTTCCTGGTGCCCCTTGGAGCCCAGGCTGTGCCCAATGGAAGGAGTGGGTACCGTGGTCACCTGGCCACCAGAATTCACTTGGCTAATTAAGGGGTTGTTTAAGCGGAACCAGTTGGGAGTAAACCGGATGCAAGAGTCCCCCATGCCTTCCAAAGGGTAAATGACATGGCCCATGGCACGTGTCCTCAGCAGCCTCATGGGGGCAGGGTCCACCAGGGGCAGACGGCTGTGTGTATGGACAGGGTCCACCAGGGGCAGACGGCTGTGTCCATCCCCTGCAGCTGAGCTTGGGGGACTGAGGGAGCTGCTCCAATGCTCAGGGGACCAAGATAAACTCAGGAGCATTGCATCCTCAGAGTGAGCCGGCTCAGGGGGAGCTGGACCCTCCCGCAGGGCCAGCTGTGTGCCGCTGCACAGTGGGCCTACCGTGGAAAACCTGCAGGACCAGGAACGTGAGCCACTCCCATGTAGCCAGAGAAAAGCATGGCTCCAGGTGTGCACATGGGCACATGTGTATGTGCACAAGCATTTCTGTGTGTGTGCCAGCATTTCTGTGTGCATGTGTTCAAGTGCGCATGCAAACATTTCTGTGTCTGCCATGTTCAAGTGTGCATGCAGGCATTTATGTGTGTGGGTGTTTAAGTGTGTGCCCTTAAGTGCATGTGAATCTCTGCCTGTGCCAGCATTTACTTGGCACACACAGCATTGTGCTGAGCCCTGTGGAAACAGCTCTTCTAATTTAAGAGATGTTCCATGTGTCCACAGGAAACATGGGGGTGTCGTTCGCCATTCAAGATGTGAACCAAGCCTAAAGCAGGACCCCCAGAGGGCATGACCGGCCATGGGCTGACAGCAGTGCAGGGGCTGCGGTGGACGTCCCTGTTTGTCTGAAGCTCTGTCCTGCTGGCACACGTCAGACTCATCAGCCAGGCTACCCTGGCTTCTCCCCAGAGGGCCGCACCTGCCAGTGTGAGATACTGCTGCCTCCTCAGGACACCTGTCCCTGCCCATGGACAAGTGGGGCAGGGGTCACAACACGGAGCACCCCTCACCCGTGTGTGGTAATGACAGCCCTGCTGGCCCTCCTGCCCCTGGACCCGTAGCCAGTCCTGCCCCAGACTCGGGCCACATCACCTGCTCCCACAGTTGCGGGGTGCACCCCTCTTGGGATGGCTCTGGATTGCCCAGACCTAAGTCTAGGGCCCTCGGTGCTGTGACCCCCTCTTTAACCCAGTGCATGGAGCAACTGAGCCAGGTGAGCCTGATGTGGTGGGGAGGTGCCCTGAGAGAAACCTACACTCCCTTCCCTGCACCCCAGGCAGAAGCTAAGGCCACCGAGAGCAGCCTGGCCGCATGTCGCATGTTCTGATCTGTTTTTCGTCTGAGAAAGTCTTCCAGCCCACAAAGCCCGGGCCGGGGTGGGGGTGGGGGCGGGGGTGGGGCATCACTTTGGGAGCCTCTTGTCATCCGGGGCCAAGACAGCCTGGACCTGGGTCTGCCAGGTGACGCCCTGGCGAAGTCTCAAACACGCACTCGCTCAACCAGGCTGGTCCGTGGGCTCTTCCCTGACGACCCTCCAGGTTCCCCACAGGCGTTGCTGGAAGGAGCTTCCCTGACCCTGACCCAGCCAGGCTTCCCAGGGGGATGATCCCAGTGGTCTCAAAAGGGCACCTCGGTCACGATGCTCTAACCAGCCGACCCACAGAACCGTCCGCACAACAGGACACGAATGGAGATGCTGCTGCAGACGGGCCTGCCCGGACCCCGGAGAACAGGCCCCAGCTCCCTCTGTCCAGGCCGTCCTCCTCCCCAGGGCTCCTGACAGGGTCCCGCAGGAGGGAGCAGAGCAGAAGGGGCCTGGGGCAGAGCCATTCAGAAGCCTCAGCCCTTGCTCCACCCTTCACAGGGACCACTGCAGCCCCCAGGAGCATAGAGCAAGTCCTGCCAGGGTCTCCAGGGGTTCGGGGCTCACCTTTTCCACAAGCTCTTGATTTCTCCGGTACAGCGCCTGCTTTTCTTCAATCCACTTCATATCCTTGAAAATTGAATTGAAAGAAATAAAGACATGGAGAGAGGAACTCATAAACTAACGTTTAAATCGTGATGTGGCAGAACACCAAAGACCTGTCTGGTCAACGTGGCAAAGCCCCATCTCTACAAAAAAATACAAAAATTAGCCGTGCGTGGTGGCACATGCCTGTGGTCCCAGCTACTTGGGAGGATGAGGTGGGAGGATGGCTTGAGCCCAGGAGGTTGAGGTTGTAGAAAGTTATGATCGCACCACTGAAGCTTGTCTTCAGGTGCAGCCAAATACTTCCCACCCACGTGTGCCCCCTATGCCCGCACAGATGGCTGCAGGCTCACCTGCCCCTGCTCTGCCAGGGCCTTCTCCAGGTCCTCGATCCGTGCCTGTGCCCTCTGCACTTCGGCTTGTAGCTGCTCACGGGTCTGTAGGACGGGAGGAAAGATACATCAAATTTTCTCTAAAAGCCAGACAGACAGCACACACACTCGCGAGATACCAGAAGGGTCTGTCTTTTGGTTCAGTTCATTGAGAAGTGACTGTTCACCCTTCCTTTGGAAGAGATGCTTTCTAAGAGAGGGAGAACTGTTTTCTGTTGTTGTTTTGGTTTTTTTGTTTTTGTTTTTTTGAGACAAGGTCTGGCTCTGTCATCCAGACTAGAGCTCAGTGGCACAATCTTGCCTCCCTGTAACCTCTGCCTCCCGAGCGCAAGTGATCCTCCCACCTCACCCTCCCGAGCAGCTGGGACCATAGGCGTGCACCACCACACCCCGCTAATTTTTGTATTTTTTGTAGAGACGGGGTTTCACCATGTTGCCCAGGCTGGTCTCAAACTCCCAAGTTCAAGCAGTCTGCCTGCCTCAGCCTCCCAAAGTGCTGGGATTACGGGAGTGAGCCATTATGCCCAGCCCTGAAGGGAGAACTTTAAGGCTTATTTGAAGCAAGAGATCTCACTTAGATTCCAAGGGGAAATTCTGCAGGTTAATTTTGAGGACTTTTAAGAGAAATCTTTGTTTACAGGATGGCACAGCTGATGAGGATGACTGACGCCTAGTGTGTGCTCAGCCCTGCCAGGCGCCGGCCAGAGGGCTTTGTTCGAAGGACTCTCCACACGGACCCGCTGGAAGCCCCAGCTGGTGTGGCTGCCTGTGCAGGAGCTGCCCTGCTGGAAGCCCCAGGTGATGCGGCTGCCTGTGCCGGAGCTGCCTCGGCCCAGGGCTCACTGCCTTCCTGAATTTTGTGTTCCTTAACTGACTCCCAGAGCCCACCCCACGTCTGCAAGAAAAGCCCTAGTGCTTTCCCTGTCAGCATCCTGGTTTGTGAAGTCCCTCCCGAACGCCACCAAGGCTTCCAGCCAAGATCTGAGCCACCCTCCCTTAATTCAGTTTGCTCTGGTGGCTCCAAACCATGGGGCATTTCACCCCACGGTGGCTCCTGCTCTCTCTGGGGATAGCTTCCAAGGGAGGGGTGCGTTTTGGGACAAGGCTCACGGTCAGAGGATCCATCAGCAGGGGTGGGGGATGGGCGAAGGCGTGGCCTGTGATGCCCCCGAGTGCTGGGTCCCAGCTCCCTGCCCCCAGGCCCTCCTGGGCTCCTGCCATCACCCTGACCTCTTCCCTCCCTTAAGGGGTCACAATCGTGGGTGTGAGCCCTTGGGTTGGAGAATCCTCAACAGAGGGAATTCTAGTGAGTCCTAACCCTGCTTCCAGACAGGGAAACGGAGCCCGCAGAGGGCTGTGGGCCCCCCGCAGCCTCAGGACCGTGGCAGGGATGGGCCCACATCCATGTCTTCAGACGCTTGTCCTCTCCCACCCCCTTCCTTATCCTGAGGCTTCCTCGACTTCCACAGTGAGGAGCGACATTTCCAATTATAATACAGAATCAGACTGCGGGATGCCGGCTAGTCTATTTTCTTCATTAATCTTGTCTATATCTTCCAATTTCTAAAATAACCATGCAGCCCCTCTTGGCGTCAGATTTTCCTCTAATTCTAAATGACATTAAAAAATTTTACATGCAATTTGGACATTTTCACTCTCTAAGCAAAGCTTCTGAGTTCTGTGTTTTCATGTGGCCCCCGAGCAAATGTTTCTCTGGCACCTGACAGGAAAAAGGGAAGACAGGACGCTTCCTCCAGCTCCCCCAGCTCCTGGCGAGCTTGGCCAGGAGGATGCAGCTGCTGCCCCGCCCCTGCTGGGAGGGGGAAAGGCTGGGCCCGTGAGGCTCTGGGCCGTCTCGGGATTGCCATGCTTTATGATGCTCTGAGCCAAGGCTTTGACTTTTTCCTTTCTCCAAGGGTCATGTAAAAATTAAGTCAAAGTGAAAGCAGCGATATTTAAAGTCCCCAGTTACGCAGACAAATCTCTCCGAGCCTCAGGAGGGGGAGTCAGGCCTCCCCACTCAGGACAGGAGGAGGGGCACGGAGGGGCAGAGAGCTCTCTTAATTTTCACAACAGACATCCCCAGTGCGGTGCCAGGAAGGCAGGAGGGAAACCAGCCATGTCACCAGGGTGGTCTAGGTGGACAGAGGGTGAGGCCAGCGGCTCCCTGGGGGCACTAGTGTGGACCACACTGGGGGTGCTCTGTGCACACTCTCCCCTCGCCCCAAGAGGTCCATTCCCCACCCAGCTCAGCCACCCTAAGTTGCAGAATTGCTGGACACTGGCGTCTCTGGCCCTGCAGGGTGGTTGTGGGGTGAGGGAGGCCGACGGGAACCCCACACCCCACAGCTGCCCGCTCTGGAGAACCCCTCAGCTCCCCCAGAAAGCAGCCCGTCTTGCTGTGAGGGGCACCAGGTGCAGGTCCTTCAGCGGTTTCTCCTCCAAGCCTCAGGAAGTGAGGGGGGGTGGCGAGAGGACCCCCGACCTATGACCCATGCTCTCCCCACAATGCCTGGTGCCTGCACTACCCCCCGCGGCCCGCAGAGGGCACCCGCCAGCCACACTGGGGCCTTTCCTGGGGGACGATGCTAAGGTGAGCCAGGGAAGCAGGTGGAGGGACACGGCCGCTGGGATCCTGCCCAGTGGGGAGGCCGGGGGAGAGGGGCCAGGGCCAGGGCCAGGGCAGGCACAGCCTGCATGAGCATGAATGACCTCCGCAAGTTTCAACACTGACCTCGATGCTGCCATGGGTCACTGCCATGCTGCCAAGAGCGGGAGAGGAAGTCTGGAAGGAGACCCATCCTGGGCGTTGTGGGCCCCTGCCACCACCACCATCCCCCAGGACACTCACACCTGTGCCTGGCACTGCTCTGGGCCACCCTCCCACCTGGGCCAATTCCCAGCACCAGACTCCCCAATCCCTGGTTTTAATTGGTCTCCAAGGGCACCATCAGGACCAGAGGCAAAGACAGGAGAGCAGGGGCTCAGACCCAGGAGGGATGGCGAGAGAGGTGTCCCAGCCCGGGCCATGGGGTCAAGCAGGAAGACACAAGGGGGCCCGGAACGCGCGCGGTGGAAGTCACGTAGACCTTAACTTCTCGCTCTGCATCCAGCGTCCCTCCGACCTGCTCCTGCAACAAGGCGTAGGCACGCTGCAGGGCCTGGTACTCCATGGTCAGCTGCCGGAACCTCAGCTCCGTCTCCTCCTTGGCCATACCCTGGAGAGACACGGATGCCACACCCGCAGAGACGCAGTGTCAGCGACCAGCACCTCCTCCGACGGCGGGGCCCCGGGGCTTCGCTTCTCCCCAGACATCAAATGGTGTGGGGGAGGGGGGGCGTCTCTCTAGCAGTGTGAGGGAGGGGACCCACGCCAGCGTGCAGGGAGGGGCGGCTGCCTGGGGACGCAGTGCTGTTTGGAGAAAGGTTTTCCCTGGAGAGGGGAGCCCCGAGCCCTGCAGTGGGAGCTGAGCCGGCTGCACGGCCGAGGCCAGGGTGAGACCGCTGGGCTGGTGGCCATGGCCAGGGGCTCAGCTGGGGCTCCTGCTTGCCAGCCAGGCTGCCCTGACCCAGCAGACCCTCCGTTACCAACCAGGCCTGCATATGCTCTGCTCTGCTGAAATGCGTCCTGGGAAGAAAGCTGGGCTTTGTGAAGGGTGTAAAGTACCCCAGGCAGCACGTCTCCTCCCAGGCGCACTCCTGCAGGCTCGCCCTGCTAGCTGCAGTGCCCCCCACCACTCCAGGGAGAAGACAGGTGAGCCTGGCCTTCAAAGGGTCCCAGTGGGCCCCCGGGGCTGAAAGGCTTGGCCATGTCCAGGAGTGACTGAGCCCAGAAACCTTAGCCTGGCCCAGTTCCCCTGCCCCACCCTGCACCTGAGGCTGTGCGAGAACGTCTCAGGTCCCTTAACAGGTCTGTGGCCACTGGGCCGCCCTCCAGGGTCTGCCAAGGGAGGCCCAATCCTTGGCTGTGCCATTGGCTGCGGACCCCACTCCTTGTCCCACGGCCACAGGGCCTGCGTCCCACAACGCCAAATCCTAGCTTCCGACGTGGTGCTGAAATGGCTGCCTGGACCTGAGGGTAGCCGTCCTTCCGGAAGAAGGGGCTGGTGGGCAGAAACGCCTGTGCTGTTATCAGAAAGAAAACTCCGGCTCAACACCCCTCTCGCCCTAATGTGCTTTTGGCACTGGGACCAAACTCCCTGAAGAGTGTTTCGGACCCTCCTGGGGAGGCCCCTTAAGAAGGGAGAGCTCACCGTACCCCTGTGCAGAGGGGGCGGAGGCTCAATGGCAGGAGGAGGCAAGGTTTGGCCTTCATGGGAGCAAGAAGCGGGCCTCAGCCCACACCCCGAGCCACGTCATCGGAGCTTCTCACCACGTCCAAGCCAGCTATCAGCGGGTCAGTGCCAGTGAGGGCTGCCAAGGGCTTCCCTGTGAAAAGCTGGCAGCCCACGCCCAGCCAAGCCCAGAACCCACCAGGAGACCCTCGTTACCTCCTCCAAGTCGTCATCCGGGGTGCACGGGGTCTGGTCCGTCCTGTCTGTTTGGTAAGAGATGGAGGAACCGTCGGATTCCAGGGAGGCCTCTTCATCGTATCCAAAGAAGGTCTCCACAACAACCGGCTTGTGACCGAAAGGCAACATGTCAGTTCAAACCAGACCCAGGCACAGCTGCCTTCACCCGCCTCCTCCTCCTGCTGCCCAACGGTGGGGGCCACAGCCCCGCCCTGCAACACACTCCCGTCTCTGTCCCCGGCCGCCCTGGTGCAGGCCGAGGAGGTGGCCTGGGTGTGAGGGGGCTCTATATGGCAAGGCTGGCGGGGCAGGTGGGAGAGAGGCCTGGAGCCCCGTGGGCGAGCAGGTCCTGGACCTGCTCTCAGTGGTGGGGAATGAGGCCCTTCAGGGGGCGCCGTCCCTGCACTTCCCTGAGGGTGGTGCCCAGGATAATGGAATTGATGGTGGGTGCCTTCTCTGTGTGATCTCATTCCCAGTGATGCATTTCTGTTGTATTTTTTAAAGTTTCAGCCCTTGACTGATTGGAATAAAAACAAAAACAGGGTCCTCCGCTAGCTGGTGTGAGAGGCCCTGCCTTCGGGGATCCCCCCAGGTTCACCCTGATGTCTGCATCCTTAGGGTCCCCTCACCCCAGCTTTCGAGAATCGCAAGATTCCTCATCTGGGTTTAGAAGTGTTACAAGACGCAAAGCCTGCCATCTTCTCAGTCCCTTCCGCCGTGGCCACGGTGGCCTCCAGGTCTCCTCCCAGTTCTTCTGCCAGAACTTTCCAGCAAAACTCCCTCTGGGACCCCAAGGCCACCGGCTTCTCCTACCCCCTGCCAACCGCTGGCCTCTGTCCTGTGTGCCTCCCCACACCCTGTGTCCTCCCTTCGCAGGGCCAAGGCATCTGCTGGACACGTCCACATCCCAGAGGGGCCCCGAGCAGGGAGGGCCGGGACAGCTCCTCCTCCCCACCTTTCAGAGGGCAAGTGTTTGTGACCAAGGAGCATCTAACAACCTAACAGCAAACACTGCTGACTGCAGAAAAGCAACACACACACACACACACACACACACACAGTCTCACACATACACACTCACACTCATACTCACACTCACATACACATACTCTCACACTCTCACACACACTTATACTCACATACACACAATCTCACACACACACACATATGCAGACACACATTCACATGTACACACTCACATATAGACACATACATACACACACTCACGTAAACACACATACATATACACAAATGCACACACTCACACACACATACACACAGACACACACACTCAACATAAAGCAGGAGATGAGTTAGGTGCTTGGGCAGCTGCTCCAAAGGCTCCCTTAATAAAACACATAGGATTCTACTGTAGAGAAATGACAGGCGTTCACATTTCCTGGGGACGCGGGTCTGCCCTGTGGGGCCTGTGGAGGAGGCTGCTACAGCCTGTAGGAGTGGCCGAGGATGGTGAACAGCAGGACAGGCGAGCGTGGGGTGTGTGCCACAGCCAGGACGGGTGAGTGTGAGCCGCCACAGCCACCTGTCCTCAGAGCCACGCATCCCACGGGTCGTGGGGACTCGGACCTACACGGGCAGTGAGGACGCCAGAGCCGCCACCTCTTCATTGCTAGTGTTGCTGGTACAGTTGTTACCAATTCCTAACTTCTCTTGGAAATTGAAAGAAACAAGTTTACTAAAACTGATAAACAGAATATTTACTTTGGGTCTTATTTTGGTCATTTCACAGTAACAATTCTTAGAAATAATAAAAATTTTCTTTTCATCTCCAAAGACTGACTCCTATTAAGCACGCACCAGCAGGCTCTCCACACACATCAGCATTCTCCACACACGCAGGCACAGTCCTCTGCACACATACCCGGTGTACTCTCCACACACACACACCCGGCGTACTTTCCACACACGTGGGCACCATCCTCTGCACACACACCCGGTGTACTCTCCACACACACACACCTGGCGTACTCTCCACACACACACACACCCGGCGTACTTTCCACACACGCGGGCACCATCCTCTGCACACACACCCGGTGTACTCTCCACACACACACACACACCCGGTGTACTCTCCACACACGCGGGCACCATCCTCTGCACACACACCTGGTGTACTCTCCACACACACAGGCACGGTCCTCTGCACACACACCGGCGTACTCTGCACACACGCGGGCACCATCCTCTGCACACACACACCGGCGTACTCTGCACACACGCGGGCACCATCCTCTGCACACACACACCGGCGTACTCTACACACACGCGGGCACGGTACTCTGCACACACACAACAGCGCTCTCCACACACGCGGGTGTGGTCCTCTGCACACACACCCAGTGTACTAGCATACTCTACACACGCAGGCACGGTCCTCTGCCCACCCTCTGGGTGTACTCTCCACACACACAGGCGCGGTCCTCTCCACACACGCGGGCTCAGTCCTCTGCACACACACCTGGCATACTCTCCACACGTGCTGGTGAGCTGTTCCTTACCTTGGGAAGTTTTGCCATTTTCTTTCTTTGCTTCCGGAATCTTAACAGCTTGTCCCGCTCCTGCAGAAGTCAGTTGAAGAGGTTGTGTAAGTGGTGGAAGAGCTCCATCAGTTTCAGTCCATGGTTTACTGCCCGCGTCCCATCATTTGGATGACAGGGAAGATGGTGTCCGGGCTGGCTGTCCCCACACCACAGTGGGAGGCCCTGGCTCCAGCTCTGCTGCTCGGGGAGCTCATGTCTCCAGGGTGACATGGGCAGCTCCCCGGTGAGGCGGGCTCTGAGCTTGCCTTGCTCAATCGTCCACCAGCCCCTCCTTCTGAATGCATCTGGGGGCCACACGGGGCAGATGACTTGAGGGGCACAGATTTGTGGGAAGCTGGAAGGGACTTATGACCACGGCCCCTCTGGACCCTGCAGGGGTGGCGTCCACATCCGTGTGGGGACTGACGCCCTCAAAATACTAAGGAGACCAGGGTCCTGCTGCTCTCCAGGGAACCCATGCTGTGGTTTCATGGCCGTGATGGTGAACCTCTTGGGCTGCGGCTGCCTGTCTGTGCTGGCCAGGGAGAAATGCATGGTGGGGTGAGCAGCCAGAGAAGGGCAGCCATCTGACCCTGGCCATTAACTCAGAAACACGATCGTCCCAAGCTGGTGCCATCTCAACTGGGGCATCAGTGGGCATCCCTAGCTCCTGTCTGACCCACTCCGAAGGGCATCAGCCACCCATGCACGGCCTTGGCCAGGTAGCACTGCAACAACAAAATCCACCCGAAAGGCTGCCGCGGCTGCTTCTGTCTGGTCTGTGAGGAGCTCTGGGCACAGAACGGGTCCCACGGGCGACTGTGTGGAGAGTGGGGGCGGGGGAGGCGGGCGCTGACCGTACTTACTAACACGCTCTTCACATAGCCGGCGGTCTCAAGGGTCTAGGAAAGGAAGACAGCACGTTACAGAACTGCTAAGGGCCCCTGTTAGCCAAGCCCCTTGGGAGCCAGAGGATGGTGCCGCGGCAAACAGCCCGCCAGGTACCTTAGATAGTTCATCTATGAGGTTTTGCTGCTCCACAATCTGAAGCTTCAAGAAATCGACTTCTCTCTCATCCTGACTTTGATCAAGGTCATTCAAGGAACTGGGTCTCCTTATGATTCCGGCTCTCTGTCTCTGAAACGCCAAGCAGCCCACATCACAAGTTGGGGAGTGAAGGGGTCTGGCTGAACACAGTGGGCAGGGGGTTCTCCCTCAACCCGCACTGCCCACTCTTAGCTGCCTGGCTGGTGGTCTCTGCTCAGGCCTCAGAACAGCCCAGCTGTGAGGCCCTGGGGAAAGGAGGCCACGCGGAGGCCCAGTCCCGCAGCAAGAGCAGGTGTGTGCAGCCCGAACGGACACAGATGGGCCCTGCTGGTCTCCCAGAACGCATGGCTGGAGGGGATCGCTCAGAGCCCTGAAGCTGACACTGGGTTGTCTGTGCCCATTTCCCACCTGGCCACCGCTCCCAAATCCCTCCTGACTTTAACTCAGTGTGAAAAGAAGGGGGCTTCCGTAGAGAGGGGTATGGAGGGCGCCTCTCCTCCATGTCCTGCTGAATTACTCGTTGGGTAAACTCTGGCTTCATGGCCTTCAGGGTCTTCAGGGCAGGGAAACGCAGTGACACTGGCTGATGGCCCCCCACTCCTGGCTCGTGGCCTTGGCAGAGCAGAGACCTCCCACCCCTGACTCCTGCTCGGTGCTGTGTGCCAGGCCTCTTCTCCTCCCCAACAGCCGGGACCCTGCAGCTTCTTACTACCTTCGCCCGGGATTTTCCGAATTGGAGGCGGCCTGTTCCAGGCCCTCAAGTGAGACGTGGGCAAACGGGCCTGGGGAGGGGATGCCCCACAGCCGCGTCCTTTGCATGGTCAGGGCCTCCTTCAAGGCTCCCCTCCCCAGGGCTGGGCTTGGTGGTTGCTCGCCCTCAAACATGCGTGAGGCCAGACTCCAGCAGAAGGCCTGATCGTCCGCCTGGGACTAGCTGTCATGCTAAATCTCGCATGGAGAAGGGAGGAGCTGCTGCCTGGAGCACGCGTGCGGCCGTGGCCCCACGGAGCCCCCCACCCCCTCACCATTTCTATGTTCTCCTGGGTGACGAATTTTAACTTGTTTTCCATTCGGCGTAAAGCGTGAGACAAATCCTCATTCTTCCGACTGAGGCGCTTGTTTTTATCCAGCAGTGGCTTGTACTGACTCTCGGCTTCTCTTACACGCTTTAACTGAAAGACAAAATTAATTACGATTGTTCTTTAAGTGGCAGGTCTCCACACAGAGTCTGCAGACTGACCAGAGCCTGGGCTGCAACAACGCAGTTCCCAGCCCACTGTTTGGAAAGTCCATGCCTCCAAGAGGCACCCGCTCGCCCAACGCCCAGGGGAACCCAAGCTCAGGGCTGGGCTCGGCGTCCGGGGCGGGTGAGTCCCGTCCCATTGACAGATGGGGATGAAGATGGAGACCAGCAGTCCGGGGCCAGTGCGTTGTTTTGCCAAGAAGGGCTGTGGTAAAACTGCCCAGCCCACTGGACCCTTGCAGACACGTGACAGCTCACGCACCCTCCAGGATCTCAAGTTACCTGGAAATCTCAGTGGCTATAAGGACCAATGGTGACAACCCCACTGAGGGGCCGTGTCTGTACATCCTAGATCATCTACAGAACAGAGAAGGCTTCCGTCCCCAGTAACGCAGGGCAGGGGTTAGTCAACCAGCTCTTGAGGGGTAAATGTGGCCCCTATCTGTTTTTGCTAATAAAGTTCAACTGGAACACAGGAGACTTAGATGCAAGGCCGATCCTTGCAACCACCACTCCTTTTCACAAGGAATTTTGAAAGTGAACTCCCCCCAGGTCCCTACCTCCGCAGTCACGAACCCCCGGGAGCCAGAAGGCCCCGCCCGCGCTCACCAGCTCATTCCTCTCTTCCGACAGCAAGGCGTTGCGGTCCTCCAGTTTGCGGATAATCGCACTTAACTCTGCAATTTTAAGCTGGAAGCGCCGGGCATCTTTTTCATCCAACTGCTGTTCCTAAAACAAAAATCAACTGCAAATAACTGTTCCTACACACAGGCCTGGGTAGCCTTTGCAAATCCCAGCACGCTACAGGAACCAAAACCCTGCCGCGGGACGAGCGCCTTTGCCTCCACAAGGCTGCCGCGAAGGTTCGGATCCCCCAGGGGAAAGGCACCCGGCCTAGCACTGTGGTCACTGCAACTGCGTGAGGTGACAGAACCGACGGGCAGAGCAAGAGACCCTGCCTCAAACACAACAACTATTTTAAGATAACATAAAGTAAAATAACGAAAAGGAGCAGACATGTCTACAAGTATGCAGATGGAGAGGGCGGGGACGTGCAAATGCAGAAACCGCGAGTGTGGGTGATGCCAGAAAGACGCCGGCCAGCTCCCAGCCCTCTGCCTGGCCCCTGCTGCTGCCCCTTCAGGAGGGTGTGTCCCCTGCCCGGCGGGGCGGGATTTCTCTGGTACGATGACATGAGCACAGGAAAGACACTTGTTGGAGACTTTCAAAAGAGGTGACCTCCCTCAATGGGACTTCTAAAGGGCCGTTTTTGGGACCCCTGGAACTTCACTCAAAAATCGGTGGAAACGTTTGAATCCAGTTTCAAATCCCTCTGGAGTGAATGCCGTCGTCTACCACACACCAGCAGGAGGGGCTGGATCTCATTCAACGGAGAAGTCTGAATGAGATCTTAAAATAATATTTTCTATTCTTGAGATATCGCTGTCCTAGGACCAGCTCAGCTCACACACAGTTTTGTCCTCAAAGCGAACAAGCAGCATCCAGGATGGTCCTGGGCCCGACTCGAGTTCCTCATTCAACAGGTGCAGGAGAGGCTCGGGGTCAAAGACCCAGAAGGAGCAGCTGGAGGGTCCCTGGACTTCAGATACCCCAGGTGTCCCAGAACCACGACAAGGATGTGAGTGCAGAGCAGCAGCGAGGAAGCGGGTGGAGCTCAGCCCGGGGTGGTCGGCAGACCCCACACGGCAGAGCGGCCCAGGGAGGAGCAGAGAGTGGCATGATCACATGAGAAGCGGGTGGGAGGGTGACTGGTGATGCGAGTGCCAGAAATCACCCTCGAGGGGCCAGCTGGGCACACGGTGGGCAGGGAGCCAGTGCGCCAGCCTTCCCGGGCCAGAGGCAGAGGCCGTGTGCTTGGAGATGGTGGCAGCGCATACCCAGCACAGCCTCCTCCCACCAACCCAGGGCCAGACCCTGGGCCAGCAAGTGCCACGGACTGCAGCAGAAGCCTGAGGCCGGGGCCCACGGGAGGGTGACAGGGCTGGGGCCGATGCTATGCTAACAGGAAGGAAGGAGATGAGTCCACCAGCCCTCCGGGCCAGAGCCAGAGGAGCTGAGCACCTAGGGCCAGGCTGGGTGGGGAGGTGCCCAGGCAGGAGGGTGCTGGCTCGACTCGGGCTCTGGTCTCCTGGGGGAGTGGCCCATGCAGGGCCATGCAGCCACATGGCCGGGTCTGTGACACGGGGTGGGCCAGCGGGCCTGGGAGGTGCTTACAGGGCTTCCCGAGTGGTCTGAAGCGTCTCCTGCACCGGCTGCATGAGGAAGTTCCCGTCTGGGGCTGCCCGGGTGCCGGTCGGCCTCTCGGACCTGGGACAGCTGCTCATCTAGAGCCTCTTTTTGGAGCTGCAGTCTCTGAGCATGCCCGGCTTGAACCCCTAACTCTCTCTCCAGCACGAAGACTGCTCTGTCTTTAAATTTTATCTCCTCCATCTACAAGGAGAACAGAACACAATCACACAGGCGGCAGGACACGGATCTGCAGTTACCATAGAAACCAGCGCAGCCCTGCCAGGCTCTGGGCTCTGAGACCGGAAGCAAGAGCGGAGCGTCCTGGACGGAGAGCAGGAGCCCCGGCCCTGGGCTGAGGCACGACACCTCGGCTCCCATCAGGCCTTGGCTCAGCCGGCTACACAGAGCTGCTGCCAGCAGGGGACCCCTTCCTGACGGTCCCGACTCTGTGTGCTCTGGCACGGCACCCCATTCGGTGCTGTCCTGCTGGGGCCCTGGGGGCACATGGGGGTGCTGTTGTCTAGCAGAGTCGGCGGAAGCCACTTCCAGCTCCTGCCTCTGCCGTAGGTTGGACAAAGAGGAGGACACCCAAGTTACCCACACTCTGCCAATAGGAAGGTGCCATGGGCAAGATTCTTCTCTAAACAGGCAGGGGAAACCATGGGGAACAGAAACCCTGGCCTGAAAGCCAGTGCTACTCCTTCCCCAGCCCGGGCCTACCCCCCAGGGGAAGGTTGTGCAACGTGGGGGCATCACTGTGGTCTTTGGACACCGCCCCTCCATGCTTCTGGGCATGACTAAAAGGCTGGGACCCCACACAGCTGTCTTCAGGCAGCACCACATTGCTCATTAATCTGGCTGCGAGCCGGGGCTTTCGGGGTGAGACGGCAGCCCAGGGGTGTGCAGGACGTCTGCCCGCCAGTGGCTGTGAGGGGTTGGCAGCCCTCCCCACCCTCCCTACAACGCGACGCTTTGTGCTCAACCCACAGAGGGAAGAAGCCATTCCTTCCGGGGATACAGCAGCCGCAGCCTGCAAGCCCCCGCCTGCTTCCGGGCAGGGATGCGCCAGCCAGAACGCAGCACAGCCGACCCGACGGCCCCCCCACTCTTCAGACAGACACGCTCGGCACTTTGGACGTCATTATCCACGGCACTAGATTTACGAGAAGACAAGGTCTTCGGGGATGAACAGCTCAGTTTGAAATATATTTTCGAACAACAGAGCAGAATGGGATATCTTGCTGCTTTACTCATTGTTTGAGGTTTAAACAAGCTAATAAATCTGCTATTGCTGAAGTTAGCTTGGAAACAAAGAAAGGAGACGTCTAATTAGCCCAGATGGAGCAAGTGATGAGCTGAACAGAAGAAAAGAAATCCTTAATTGCTAAATCCCCATCTTCTCTGCACACAGCAACACTGAAAGAGGCAACACAGTCAGTTAGTGGGAAGGCGGCTGGTGAAATAAGAGCGTGTCCATCAGCAGCTGTGCCTGCGGCCTGGCGCTCACACTCTCAGACTCAAACAAGATTTTTTTACCAGGACCCCCTCACTCCCAGCTGCAGAGGATGCCTGGAAACTGGAGAGAAGCCCTTGGGACGGTGGTCTCCAGTGCAAGGGGTGTGCAGGCCAATGCTGGGGCTGGAGGAGAGACGATGCCCCTCCACTCTGCCCGCCCCTGACCCGCCTGCCCCCAGGTATGCCCCGCAATGTGTCTCAGCACGGGGCCCCGACACGCAGCATCACAGCCACCTGTGACAGCTGTCCATGGCCAGGTCCCTGAGCCCCCCAGATGCGCAGTTAGAACCTCTAGGGTGGAGCCTGGGAAGCTGCATTTTACAAGCCTCCCTGCTGACTGTGAAGCCCACAGACATGATCTCACCACTGCCCCACAGTGCTGAGGCCCCTGCATGCGTGTGTCCCGCCACGCCCATGAAGCACACTCACTACACAGGGCACGTCGTCATCCCCAGCATAGTCACTGGCAGCTGTGGCTGCTCCCAACTGGGCTGACCATGCCTCAGTGCTGCAGACAGGTGACTGCCTAAGGTGTTGGCAGAGTACCTGCGACCCCCCAGCAGGTCTCCTGACCCCGGGCCCATGGAGCCAGGACTCCTTCCAAAGACTGGGCCTGTGCAGGGAGCCCTCATGTCTGGCGGGTGCCACTCACACCACCTCTTCCTCCAGAGGGTTCTGCGCCTCAGGGGAGCCCTCCCTCCGCATCGACTCTTGGTTCCGTGGGTGGTGACTTGAGCATACGAATGCGCCTTGTGAGACAGAAAAGGCTGCTGCTCCCAGTGGATGTGCTAGAGATAAGGAAGAAGATGTGCCTTGTCCTAGCTGGGGCTTGTTTTCCTAGCACAGAGGGTGTTGATGAGAGAAGGAAGGATCCCCATCACCCAGCTCCCAAGAGCTTAGAATGGGTGGGGGAGATGGGAAAAAATACACAGATGAGATACAGAGCCTGGTCCTGTGATTCCCTGTGAGAAAGCAGAGACCTGGATGGTGGGGGGAGGCAGGGGGGCGGTTGGAGGTGCTAGAAGAGGCAGCCAAGCCTCCCTCAGCCTCTGGTGGGGTAGGAGAGCTTGTAAGATGAGGGAAATGTGACATTTTAGGAGCCCAAGCCCCTTGGTGTCCCAGAGACACCAGAACTTACTGCATGTCTGGGAATTAACCCTTGGGAATTTTTCTCTAGACAGAATGTCCAGGTCCCCCTCAATCATGGGATAATCTGCCAGCACCATGAGAAGGTGGTTCCCAAGCCTGGTGGCCTCGTGCTGGAATCACCTAAGAAGCTTTCTCTTAAAAAAAAAATAAAAAGACTGATGCCCAGAAACTTCTGGTTCCAGACATGATGGGGTAGTTGGCATTAGACTTACTCTTCTGCGGTGCACAACTCTAGAAGCTGAACAGGACACACAACACAGGGGCAGGAGAAGGAGACAAGGAAATCAGTGCTTGTCAGCACAGGGCCCCGGACACACAGCGTCACAGCCCCTGTGGCCGCTGTCCACAGGCAGATCCCTGAGCCTGTAGATCAGTGCCTCTCATCACAGGGCCCCACCTCCCCTAATGTTTTCCCTGAGGGTGTTCTCGCAACTTCTCTCCTGGGAAACAGAGCCCCGAGCCGCAGAGGCCTCTTTTGTTGCAGGAAACTAAGATTAGAATTTGGTTGGGGCTACTACAGCAGCTGGGATTTGGAGAGTGGAGGAGGGAATGGCAGAAAAGGAATGACAAAGATCTGACTAAGGATTCCCTTAGGTCCTTGGTCCCCTGCTAAGCTGTACATGTGCAAGGCAGGATTCCCAGAAGCCTTGCAGGAAACAGTTCCTGAGAATCTGAATGGTTAGTAGAAATGTAAGTGGTTACACATGGCTGTGGAGACATTGCAATTCAAGCTCAGACAGAATAGAAGATCATAGTGATTTCTCTAGACCCTGCAAAGGTTACACTCCCAGGGGCAGGACAATGTCCTAGGAGTAAAAACTTCATATTAAGAGAAAACTAAACAGACCTTACCTAACAAAGCCTGAAACCACACCTCAAAAGGATCCAGGTAATCTGCTGGTCAGTACTCGTCTGCTTGAACAAAACTCAACATTCTTAAGACAACAATAACAATGCTCAGCCTCACAACACATCACCCACAATGCCAAGAATATAACGAGCATCATTAGACATGTGCACCCACAGTGCCAAGAATTTAATGAAAATCATTAGATACGTGAAAAACCAGGGAAAAATAACCAATAATGAAGCTAACTCTATGGCAACAAATCAAAAGATGACTAGTCAATAAGAACTTAAAAAATAATTGTGATTGATAGAAACAGACCCAGAGATGGTGAGAGTATTGAAGTAAGCAGATAAGAACTTTTTAAATCGTTGTAATTAACTCACTAAAACTAATGTAATTAACACATTATATTTTTCTAACAGAGATAATAAAATGACTAAAATGCAGTAATTCAAATGAGAATCAGGATCTATTCTTAAAAAGAATTAAGTAGGCACTCAAATCCTACATCCAAGGTCTAAAATTAGAAATTCATTACCAAGGTTTCAAAGCAGACTGGACACAGTAAAATCACAAACCCAAGATAAAATGATAGAAAATATCCAACCAAGGCACAAAAGGAAAAACAGAAAAATAAAACAGAATAGAGCTCAAGAAAACTGTAAGCTATAGTCAAAGTGTCTAATATACATGTGATTGGAATCCCAGAAAGAGAAAGGAGGAGAAGTAATGTTTGACTAAATAATGGTCAAAAATGTTCTGTATCTGGTGAAAGATATCACTTCAGATTCAAGAAGCTCAGCTGTCCCCAAGCAGTATTTTTTTTTAAATTACAAAAACACACCTAGACACATCACAGTGAAATTGATGAAAACCAGAGTTAAAGAGAATATCTTAAAAGTAGACAGGAAAAAAGACACATTGTCTGAAGCAACACCTGTAAGAGCGACGGCCGGCTTTTCAACGGAAACTAACAAAATCAGAGGACACTGGCAGGACATCTTTTGAGTGCTAAGAAAAATGCCTGACAATGTGAGAGTTCCAGGCTCAATGAATACATCCTTGGAAAATGAAGGCAAGTCAAGATGCCCTTAGACAAAAGTGGAGAGCATCCTTTGTTAATACACCCACAATGCAAATAATTCTAAAGGGAATCTTTCAGGCTGAAGGGAAAAGACTGCAGATGAGAACTTGTGAAGATATAAATATAAAAGACCATTGGCTGCTTATGGCAACAGTAAAAGCCATTTCTTTGGGGGCTTATGACATGTGTCAAAGTAAAATATATGACAATAATAGGAGAAGTGGGTAAATGGGGTTGACCTATTGCCTTATAAGGTACTTGTATTTTGGGTATATGGCAAAATTACTAATTTATAATAGAATGTAGTTAAGGATACATATTAATATTTCTCTGTAACTACTAATGGAATAACACTAAATGTTGACCAAAAGGAGATAATCCCATACAATGGTTGGATAACCCCATGGGATAACCTCATCCAAGGCAAGGAGTAGACAGAGGGAGGAGGAGGGAGGGAGGGGAGGGAAAAAAAAAGGAACAGGGGGACGAGAGTAAAAAACAGAGAGAAAAGAACACAAATTCCTAGCATCAGGAATGAAAAAAGAGACAGTGAATAGATAACAAGCAGCTCTCATTAAAAGTCTAGCAAGCAGTCAGGCGCGG